TGGAACAGCAAGGCTAGTCAAAAAAGCCAAGGGGGCCAGAGAAGAGCAGAGTGGGGGGTGGGTGGGGAGCGGAGCTGGCTCACCAGCCCAGACTCACTTTGAGAGGGCAAGCACTTTACCAGTGAGCTACATCCCTGACTCCTTGCCAAGAGAATGAGAGCCATGGAAGGTTCTGGAGCAAGGGAGTGGGCAGGAAATGGTGGTAGGAAGAAAAGGAGGAAACGAGACCGATTGGGGGTGCAATAGCAATGGGACCTACTGGACTCCCCAGAGAATTGCAAGGCTCAGGAAGTGGCCTATTTCAGAGCCCAGCAGGCCCCAGGGGGCAGGGACAAAGTGTCAGGAGCACCTGCAGGAGGCAGGTTTAGAGTGTTGAGCATGGAGGTTGGGACTAGAGAGCATAGAGAAAGGAGGTGGACAGAGAGATGGAGGAAGTCAAAAGCCCCTGACCAGAGAGGAGTAAGCTGGGTAGACAAAGGAGGAGGCTGTGCACAAGGCCTCAGGCTCTGTCCCAGCTCCTCTGAAAGGGCAGGAAGGGCTCCTGGGGTTAGGGAGAGCAAGTTGAGGCTGGATTTGCTGGCACTCTGAGAGGTGGAGGGAGAACTGCAGGTCTGATGGTCAGGGTGGTGTTGGGGTGAAGAACGCAGAGGATAACAGGGAATGTCTCCTGGCGCTGGCAGAGAAAGAAGAGCGGTGGACTCCTGCTGGTCCTGTGGCTGGAAACTCAATCATGTCCAACCCTCAGAACACCTCAGTCATATCCCAAAATGTGCCCCTTATTCCTGTGATCGTTGACGTTGGCTCCAAGGGCCTGGGCTTACACTGGGTGACAGTAACACTGGTGTCTGAGCTTTAAGGGCAGGCAGAGGACTAGGAAGATGGTTTAGCCTTCAAGAGAACTTACTGCTCTTACAGAGGACCTAGGTGTAAGGATTCAGGCACTATGCTGGCCTGTCCCTGTTACCTGGCAGAATGCACTGAGACAGTACCCTGGTCAGCCCAGGGTTCCATGATTGTGTAGTCTGCACACAGGTGCAAAGAACCCCTTTAAAAGACAGACTCTGGCCAGGCAGTGGTGTTGCACGCCTTTAGTCCCAGCACTTGGGAGGCAGAGGCAGGCAGATAGATCTCTGTGAGTTCGAGACAAGCCTGGTCTACAAGAGCTAGTTCCAAGACAGCCTCCAGAGTCACAGAGAAACCCTGTCTTGAAAAACCAAAAAAAAAAAAAAAAAAAAAAAAAGAGAGAGACCCTTCTCTCCCTCCACACCCCTTTCCTAATCTCTTCCTCGAGGTTCCCCTGGGGCAGACAGGATGTTTCCCGTCAACCGCGTCTCTTCTGCCCCCCCTCTGTCTGTCTGTCTGTCTGTCTCTTTTCTCTTTCCTTCCCCCTCCCTCCCCTTTCTAATAAAACTTCTCATTTAAGCTCTGTCTGCCTGGCATGTTTGTCCCTCCACCTCAGTCAACCTCACCCACGCAAGGTCCCCCTCATGCTTTGTCATAACACTAGATTCAGTTCCCAGCACCCACATCAAGCCTGTACCTCCAGTTCTAGGGGAGCTAACACCCTCTTGCCTCCATGGGCACCTGCACAAACACCCACACACATATATGTAAAGGCAGGTATAGAAGCTGAGCAGGTGGCTCACAATGTAACCCCAGCACTTAGGAGGGTGAGGCAGAACTGCCATGAATTCAAAGCCAGTTTGGGCAACTTGGTGCCAGCGAGATGTAAGGATGCCTTGTCATCAAGCCTGATGACCTGAGTTTGATGCCTAGGACCCATATGGTGGAGGTAGAGAACCAACTCCTAAGTTGTATTCTGACTTCTACAAACATAAATGTAAGGACTGCTCAGTGAGTGAGTTCCTAGAGCATGTGAAACCCTGAACTAAACCTCAGCACACTGCCCCTATAGGAGCAGGCAAGGGAGCTGTGGACCAGGCCTTCTGCTAACAAGGGGATAGGGAGCAGTCAGGTATTATCTGTGATCACAGGCCTCCAGAGGCTGGGGCAGAATCACCACAAGTTTGGGGCCAGCCTGGGCAACCAGCAAGACTCTGGACTCACAGAGTATCAATGCAGGACCGCTACAGGCACCACGGCACACATGCCCACATACACACACACACACACACACAAACTAAGCACAAAAAATAGTAAGATAATCACAAAAATACAAGCATGGTGGGGGAGCAGTTTAGAAGACATAACCTGAACTTGTGATCCTCAGCTGCTGATTCAGCTCCTGTTTCCACCCACAGCCCACCCCACAGGGAAGAAAAGCCAAGTGGGAACTGCTACAGCTGCAGCCACAGTCCCTGCTACCCATGGGTGACACCTCCTGAGTGCTGGGCACCCAGCAAGTAGCCTGTCCTCCCATTGATGACAGGTCTAACACAGAGACAGCAAACAGACAAGCAGACAAGGAGGGCTGTGGGGTCCTGTGAGGCACAGGTCTGCATGCCATGACTAGCAAAGGCCTCTGGGAAGGATGACATCTGAGTTGCCACTGAAGGAAGGGAAGGAATCAGGAACAGAACCACAGAAGGGGGAAAGGTTAAGAGAGCTTAACGAAGAAGGAACACCATGACGACACAGCTGGACTATGCAAGGAGCAGAAAATTGGCCACATCGTGGTGCCAAGGAGAACATGTGGCAGGCAAGTCAGAAGCTGGTGTCTGGGAAAAGATAATCAAGATTCTATTCCAGAAGATTCTAAGAAGGTGAATCTCAGGAATTGACTCATGTTTTCACATCAGTCACCTCACTGTGACAAAAACACCATCCTACCCTGCAACCACTTTATCAGGAAAACAGAATCCCCCACCTCCCCAAGGCAGGGTCTCATTACATGGCCCCGGCTAGCCTAGAACTTTCTGTTTCTGGGGTACTAGCTCAGAGTAAACACCATACTTCTTCACCAAGAACCTTCTCCTTGATATTCTGGTGTTTTGGAAAAACTGACAGCATGTATCCAACTCCCATGCATTCAATAACCACCAGCTACTACCATGGCCCAAATGTGAAAAAATCCAAATTATGGCTAATGTCAAAATTAAAAAGTTTGAAAAGACCTTCCTCCAAAAGCCAGAGGTAGTGCCTGGGCTAGAGACAGCTCGGCTAGTAACATGCTTGCCCTGATCCATGCTCTATCCCCAGAGTTCATCTAAGAGCCACATAGTGGCATGCACTTGTAATCTAAGTGCTGGGGAGGTGGGGACCAGCTTGCTGTCTAGATGGGTGCCCTGGCTAATGAACTCAAGGCCAATAAGACCCTATCAAAAAAGAGGTGGACACTCAAGGTTGTCCTCTGGTCTCTGCATACAGGAGTGCACACATACAGCCAAGAGCACTCATCCTTAAATGGGCTTGGCTGAGACATCCTTCCTGACCTTACACTGTAGGACCTGCCTACTAACAAGGACAGCTTATGTCCATGCAGGGCCCCATGAACCTGCAGCCCCAAATACTTGGAAAACTACTTGGAGTGAGGCCAGGAGTTGGAAGCCAGCCTGGGTGACATAGCAAGGCTCCATCTCAACATACACCTCACATCTTCCTGGTCCTTATCCATTTACAGAATACATGCACAGGTGCTGTAAGAACGTGTTAATTAATAACCACTGGTCTCCACACTGTTAATTTACTGACAGAGCTGCTGAGTGGCTAGTTCTTGTAGGACTTACAATCCTGTATTGCTTTCTCCTCCGGACCAAGAGCCTGGTGCACCAACCTGCCTATCAGTTTCTACCGGCTTTGGCATTCATGCTGGCAGTGGTCTCTAGTCTCAAACACCCAAATTTAGTGATGGTAACAAAAGAGCTTCAAATTCATAGAGCAAAATGTGCTTTCACAGTTCTTCTACGTCTTCTGATAATGCATTCTATAGCTCTATTTTCCAAATGAGGTAATTGATTTGTGCAGTGACTAAGAAGCTTGCTTCAAGGACACTCAGGAAGAGGAAGAGTTGGGGCCAAGATCCGAAGCTAAGGTGTTTCCTCACTGGTAACCGTGACCCCGTGCAAGATGATTTTAGCAAACTGCTTATAATATGCTTTGGGGACATACGTGTAATTTGGCAAACTAGCAAGACAGGAGTACTTTCTAATTTTTATGGGTGTCACCTCCAGAAGACCAACGACCTTGTCGGTGGGAGACGCTGCGCTCCCAGCACCTGACCCCACGCATGTTAAGAGAGGGATGAATGAATGAATGAATGTCTCTGCCCAGAAGCACAGAGGCCCTCCTCTCTCTCCTGGCTTTTCCGCTCGTCCCTGTGGCGCCTGATACTCTCATCGATACGCAGATT